GGGGGGGGGGGCAGGTTCTGAGTGCTGGGGAGAGGCTTGACAGGAGGGTCTGGGTATGAGGGGGTCTGGATGTATGGGGGTTGGGTGGATGGGGGAGCATCTCCCTGTACAGGGATTCCTCCCCCTGCAACTGAGGAGTGATGGGTGTGTGTGTGTGCGGGCAGGGGGGGGGCAGTTTGCAGAGCTTCCTGCAGCTGGGGGAGAAATCTCGGGGTGGGTCTGACCCGGCCCCAGATGCTGTGTAGTGGAAGAGGAAGTCCCGTCTCTCCAGCCCAGCTGGGACTAGCAGCTGAGCCTGGCGCAGGGTTGGAGCCACCAGTTGGGTCTTCCCCAGTCCTGCCCCCCTTCCTCTCAGTGATTTACCTCTCTGCCGGCTGCCCTGGGCACCCAAAACATACTGCTGGGGAGGGTCGCATGACCGCTCTTGTGGCTTCCCTTTGCTTCCCTGTCAGAAAGTCAGTTTTCCGCGGGAAAGCAAAGAAATAGGCGGGGGAGAAATTCTGCACATGCGCAGTGGTGCAGAACTCCCCCAGGAGTAAACTCTGCACCAGCTCAGAGCTGCAACCACTTGCACACATAAGTAACTTTACACATGTGAGTAATTCCCTGAGTTCATATATTCCAGTTGAACTCAACGGGAGTACATATGTGCATAAAGTATTTGCAGGATTGGGGCTTTTATTTGCCCATTGGAAATTAATTAGCGGAATGCTCCCTTTCTGCATGGCACTGTGTACGGTCCTTAACAGTTTCTATGCCCTCTAGGGAAGGGAATGGCATCTTCCCTTAACAGATGTCACCCTTTGGGAGAGGAAATGCCCTGCAGGTGGAATTGTAATCTTCCACGACTGAAGAGAGAGCTTTGACTCCTCTATTTTTATGTGTACACTATCCTATGTAGAGAAGAAAAATTCAATAACCCAGTATTTCCCTTAGCATCCATTCTGTGGGTGAAATACTGGCCCCACTGAAGTCAATGGGAGTTTTGCTATTGGTCTCACTGGGGCCAGGATTTCACCCTCTAATTATTAAATATAGATAGGATGTGGCCTAATAAAAGCAACTCACAGAACACCAGAGCTAAACTCTTCTTGCAGGAGAGCCTCAGCTTGGGGCTTTGCCATTAAATTATCATTAGATCTCTCCTTACAGTGTGAGATCAAAGAATTTGGAACAACGGCTGCTCTGACACCAGGGTAAACCCAGAGGGGCTCCTTGATTTCAGTGGAATTTGGCTCAACTTCTCACTTGAACCTATTTCAATATACAAGGCCAAATTCTGAATTGATTTATACCCCTATATTTCCCTGCTGAGGCCCAAGGGAGTGCAAATCAGTGCAGACTTTGGCTTTCACTGTGTGTGTGGCAGGTAAAACGAGTCGGACAGCCCTTGATTACAGAGGTATAGAATGAAGGGATAGGACTGACTGGTAAATGCAGTGAGTAAGATGCCAATTGAAAGTGCTGAGGATTGAGTTCAGTTAGCTTCTTGGGCTGCATTCAGCAGAAATGTTGTATGCCACTTGCTCCTCTCCACCCTTAAGAACTGCAGCACTTAATAGTTCTATAACTTGGTCAACTGGCAAGTTATCTTAGAGGATTCTGAGTTACGACTGGTGTAAAACAAAATTGTGAGAGGGTGTGAAGGACCTTGGAATGCTTTTCTGCAGTCATCCCGGCTGTCTTGTTGCAGATGCCAATTTGGAATCATGCTCTGAGGTTCTGTCGTTGTATTCCTATATGTTACAGACTAACACAGCTACCACTCTGAATCAGCAAAAAGAACGAGGAGTACTTGTGTTAGTCTCTACGGGGCCACAAGGACTCCTTGTTCTTTTTGTATTCCTATATGTCATGCATGTTATGGTCTAAGGACCTGATTCAAAGTCAGTGGGAGTTTCTCTATTAACGTCTGTGGGTGTTGGATCAGGCCCTTATAAACCTAAGTAACAATGCTGGTGTCATTCAGCCTTTGTCATTTTTGAGCCCTAAAATTGCATGTTGGATGAGAGGGATAGGAATAAACTTCCTGCAAAGCCATTGCAACTTCTCCCTCCATCGAGTTCCAAGGCTCTCCTGTTCCTCCAGGCCTCCATAAAGAGCCCATGAAACTTGAGTTACTCTGATGCTGGCATAGAGTGACTTCCTCAGGAGAGCTGATTTAAAAGGACAATGTCCCATAGCTTAGACATGCTTTATATAGAGAGAGACGTGATATAATAGACATGATTTTTTAAAATCTGGGAACAATTTTGCTTGGTTTAACCATACTTGTAGTGTCTGCAACTCAAACTCTTTAAGAGGCATGTGATGCAATTAGTAGCTCACTGCTGAGTGGGGAGCAGTTTAATTCCCCTCATTTTATCCCCAAAGTTTGTTTAAAAAATACCCTGGTTTATTTTTCTCTCTCAACCTTTTGGAGGTGGGGGAAAGAGAGCTCGTGTAGAAGATAGAGCTCATGCACGCACTATTTCTGTGCACACCCACCCAGATACACCCCCCCGTGTGTCGCTAGCTGCAGCACATTCCTTCCGAATACTATGTTACTGCCCATTAAATAGAACCAGAACTTTGGATCAGGTAACTGGCTTCCAAACAAGCGCAGGGCAACCCCCTGTTCTCCTAGGCAGCGGGCTGCCAGAACTGGGGGAACACATCCTCCTCGCCCGGGCATGTGGCAGCCGGCCAGGGGACTGACTCATGCGTGGGAGTTGGGGGCTGGTTTGCTCGAGTGATTGGAGGGCCAGCATCGCCAGCGGGGAAAGTGCACCCACGTTCCCCACGCTGCAGCTACGGCTCCCCCCGGCCCCCCTTCCCTAGGAGCGCGCTGCCCGGGATTTGCCGGCGGTCTTTGCTGGGCTTTTTCTTCCCCCTGCTGCCCTGCCCGCGCCGGGGGAGGAGATGGGGGGCGGGCGTAGCCACACAGACCTGAACAGCCGCCGCCACTTTCCTCTCCCTCCCGCCAGTTGCGTGCCGAGCCTGCGCCCCCAGATCCCCCCCAAATCCGATCCCACATCGCTGCTGCCCCGGCTCCTCCCGGGGCTTCTGAGCCAGGCGGGCTCCAGGGGCCGGGGAGGCGAGGGTCCCTGCGGGGCTGGGAGGGGGCTGGTCTGGGGCCAGCCGGGCGGGCAGGGCAGAGGCTCCAGCCCGGCTCCATCCGTCCCCTTCTCTCCGGCAGGCTCGCGTCGCCGGGCGGCTGCGGGGGCTGCGGCAGCAGAAGCGGGGTCATCCTGGACATCGCCTCCCTGAAGATGAACGAGCTGGAGTCCGAGGTGCTGCCCCTGCCGCCCCGCTACCGGTTCCGGGACCTGCTGCTGGGGGACCAGGCCTTCCAGAACGACGACAGGTAGGGGGGTTTCCGGGGGTGTCAGCCCCAGGGACCGGGGGGAAGGGGTGTCAGCTCTCAGGGCGCGGGGGG